TTTAAATATGAAGGTAAAGTTTGGTTAAGTGTTGTTTTCTTATGGTCACTCTTCTTTACATTTTGAAGTGGATATGAAATTGTTTGATACTTGGGTATGATATTGCCCAAAATGTATTTTATGAACGATGTTGGCTTCTCAAGGAGGAATCATATCTGATATACTTATCTAAATTGTTTGTGTTACTGAATTACACGATTCTGACTGGTATTAGCCGAAGATTTTATAATTATAAACCTCAAAAGAATCAAGCTGAAGCAATAGCCATCTTTAAAGGTAATTACTGATATATTAACCAATATTTTTTGTCTAGTCTGTTATACCGATTGTAGGCGTCAAAGGAGACTTAGTGAATTTATCACAGAATGCAAATAAAGAGAGCATTAACTTGTAGAGAGAGATTGCATGCGAATTCACTTACTAACCTGTCATAAATCTTATTTATTTTTACAATATTTGGTTTTATTTCAAGACCATATCAGGTCTACTACATAATATGGATCCATAATTCAAGATGCTAGAGTAGTTTTCTCGCAACCTTCAAACTTTACAAGTTCAAAAATTTGACACCTTTCCTTATTATTCCTTTACAATGAATGATACTTTTTCAAAGGGAAAAACAGTTGTCATATTATAGGAGTGTTTTTTTTTATCAGTGATCTTTCGATTTTTATATAATATTTTTTTGATAAATATAAGTTTTATATAAAATGTGTCTATAAGATAAGACTGCTTGAGAAAATCTAAACCTTTTTTTATAAGAGTGTGATTCACCTACCAATGAAATGAAAACCCCTTTCTTGACCCTCCTTTCAACACTGTAAATATGTTATTCCCAAAGGTACCACAGCTGGGTTTGTTGATTCCCAAACCCCTTTTTTTATAGACATTTATATGTTATTCCCAAAGGTACCACAACTGGGTTTGATGATTCTGCTCATAAATATGTGGTACGCAATCAATAATAGCATAACTTGGATCGTTCATAAAAGGTGGTACTTGTTATATTAGCTTGAAAATGGACAGAACACTGCCTTGAATTGCGTAACCAGCTACTGACATTTATGAAGACTTAAGCAAGTGACAAAATATTTCTCTATCACATGTGTAAATTACCGAGCATCTAAGTGACTAGTATGATTTTTTTTACCTACATAACCTTAAATTGAATCCATTATGTGCCATGAGTACTGAGATGGATTATGAGCAATTTACCAATTGATGTTCTCCATTGCAAAATCCATAATATCTGGAGCTGTAGAGGTTTTCAATTTTGTATCTCGGTCAATGGTATTTATTTGGGTTTTGTATTATCTCATTACCTCAGGGTCTGGTGGAGTAACAAAACAACTGATGTGCATGCTTCCAATGTCAAGCTTGGGTGGTACTTGAGGATGTCTATTCTGCTTCCAATGCCCTCAGGCAAATGCAAGGTTTCCCCTTCTATGATAAGCCCATGGTATCATATACTCCTTTATATTCATTTCACCTTCAATTTTACTTGTCAACTCCAAACTTGTTATATACTCTGTATTTATATATTTATTTATTTATTTATTTTAAATAAGGTGTTTAGGCTTGTTTTTAATTAGGATTAACTAATGTAATTATAATTATCTGGTTTAGTATGGTTCTGGTTTCTGAGAAGACTGTTTTTACTATGATTTGGAAATATACAACTAGTGCTGGAAGGCAGATACATAGTGGCCAATGTCTTGTCTGTTATTCACCTTTTCCTCATGGATTATGGAGCTTCAGAGATTCTGGAAGATGTGCCTGGAAATAGTGCATATCTTACTGGGTTGAGCCTCATTGGGGGAGTGACATTGTTCCCATCTGCTATTGAGGAAAAATTTTACCTGCTTTCTCTCACTCTTTTGATGATTATAGAAGCAATTTGTGCTTTAGTCTCTCACTCTTGGTACATCATGTTTTGACTATATCTCAAAATTTTAACCCGTATTGTGTGTGATTTAGGCATTTTATGACAACTTGCTTCTCTTGGAATATTCTTGTTTCATAATTTAAAACGGGTTTACCTGCATAGCATAATTTCTAATTCTAATTCTAGCAAGCTTTGAAATGTGACTACTAGGTCAGTGTGGTCTTCTCTTAACAAAACTTATATTGCAACTTTTTTAAATGCTCAAGTACTCTAATTGAGATAAGTAGTTCTGATTCTTCTGGGCTTTGATTTTCTATTTTTTTCATTTTTATTTTTTTGGGTTGGTGTTTGAGGGAAAAGGATAGCAGTCTACTTATTAAGAGATGGCAGAAATTTCCTTTTCATATTTTTGATCATGTTTGGTTCAGTCTATCAGTGAGTAATTGTTAAGATGCACTTCTATTAGTTTCCATAACATATTTAAATCGACTGAAGGAGTATGTTGTTCTGCAGGGGGCTATTATGGGCACATTGATAACTACAGTTATCATTCCTCTAAAGGATTTGTATGCTGAATTTGTTATCGAAGAACCTAAGGACAAGGCCAAGCAGAAAGTTAGCTAAGATGATTCTCGTGTCTACAAAAGAATTTTGTTGCAGTTGAAGTTTGCTACAAGTGTGCATTGCTCTATTATTCCTTTATTAGTGGAGGTTGCCTTCAGATTTGTGATATGCTCATAATTATTTGTTTTCAGAATAGGACCTTTTTTTTCCATTTCAGGGGTCATCAAATATTTTCACTTACTGGCAGTGTTTGATAATTGAACACTTACATCTGTAATTTATTCTTGTAACTATTTTTGTTATTCATTGTATAAAAGAAAGAAAAACTCATGTAAGCTTGTAGGAAATATAATATTATCTTCATTTTTCTTGGATTTAGCAATTAAGATGAGTTTCACTAGCATTGCTATTTTCGGAGTGAACAAAGTACATAATTTTGTACATCGTGTGTTTTATATTCTGCACCCAATAATATTCCAAATCTTTCTCTATTCGTAACCAAAATTAATTTAACACAAAAATATCTAAAAACTAGGTTATCGGGTATACACACTGGTTCATTTCAACAAGCCAGTGCAATGGGTGCACCTCATAACTGCCACCATCATGATTAACAAAGTCAAATTCCTGTAAGAGGGCAATTTTAAAGAAGGATAGTTTCGTAACTTCAATCACTTTCCCATTAATATGAAATATTCAACCAAACACTTCATTATGTTATTTCACTTAATTTTCTCAGTAATATTTTATTCAACCAAACAACTTTTTTTACATTTTCTTACCAAACTCACTTTTCAACCATTTCCCTATCAATTATATTTTTCTAGTATTCAAAAAATTTCTCCTCAATCAAACGCCCCCTTACAGTTTTCCTTTCATCGTTAAGTGGAGCGAGGAAGGAGTTAAGTGATCGTCTTCATCCACATTTTTTTATGGGAAAAGTGTCTATACTTTTAAATTACATAACTTACATTCTTTCACTCTCACAAAGAGGTAGGACCTACAACATTATTTTTTTTGTCAACTCTCTCTCCTCCTTTATCTATCTCTTTCTCTCTCTTAAAATGACACAACTTTACATCCTTCAAAATTATACACACTTTTCCCTTTTTTTATTGTATGAATAGAAACTTTTAGAAAACTTATATGTTAAACTAATGGAGCTAATTTGCATTTACTAGATGCCGTATAAGACTTCCTTTTTGGTGACGTGTGCACTTAGTTTGCTGTGGTAGGTAGCAAATTAGAGAGATTGTCATGTTACTTTTGATCAAAATAGACTGATATGTCACACTTAATTCTCTATATCATGTAACGAATTTCTCAATGATAGTCACGTATTTAATTTTTGCTCAGAGCATATTGATATTTTGATTATTTAATTCATTACTATCCATAACAAATTAGATGACCGCTAAAAACACCATGTTTGCAAATTATGTTCGCTATTTATTGTAACAAATTTGTATCTATGGGACTTTGAAAAAATTTACTATTCGTTTGATATTTAGAAAAAAAAAATTGAATTAGTGATAAATAGGTCACCGCATGTTCCGTTCTTGTAATATATCATGGGGTAAAGATCCAATGAAGAGTAGGCGTTTCCTACTAATGACAATCTGGACTTGTGCTTGCTGGCAGCGAAGCACAATCCAATAATTAGATGACCAAGTGAGTAGAGATATAAGATTTAGCATTTTAGCCTAATTTTTTTTTAACCTTCTTAATCAATCACTGTAATAATATTATTAAGTGATTAATGTTTTTCGTGTAACAGGAGATAAATTATCTCCTACAACTCCAAATCGACATTGTTTTTGGAATTGGAATAATAATTGCAATGCATATTAGTAAAATATATGATATAAAAGGAAAGTAAAATTTTCAAAATATCGTATATATTTTTCTTAATTATTTTGATTTTGCTTGAGATAATTTTATCTCATGTGACAAGTGAAATATTTTTTTCTTAATTAATTACTAAAATATGTGTTTATATTGATTTTGTATTTGATATGTTCTTTGTTAAATGTTAAAAAAATATTACAACGATATTTTAAAAATATGTAAGGAAATTCTTTATCTAAAATGGTTTTTGTTTTATATAAGAGTTATGTTGTAGGAAAAGTGATTGTGTAATGTTATAGAGATTCGTTTTGCGTGCCTTAATTTTTTTTTTTTTTGCTTTAAAAAGTGTGGGTCCCACAAAATGTTGTGTGTGTAGGAAATTTTTTGGTGTCATATGACATGATAGATGTAAACACCATAAATTAATAACTAAAATCTAATAGGACATCAAGGAATTGTGTTTTAATTGACATATTGAAAAAATGTGTTTTAAAATGTTTTAATTGAAATCAAAGAGAAGGTAAGTGGGGTTGGTAAAGCAAAGAGAAGGTCGGAGAGGTGCGGCTTGCTCTGATGAATTTATGGTCGGTAAATAATGAATGAGTGTGAGGCACTCTGCTCCAACCTCATGTGACGTGTTCCTCCAAATCCACCGTCCAACTATTACGGTGCCATGGTTATAATCCAACACCACATTATCATATCATATGGGTGCAGCGATGGGTTTGCGTGCCTCCGCTTTGCATATGGGGTTTAGTGGTCCATGGATACCTTGGCGGGTTTCGATCCCTTCTGTTTGTAAAAAAGAAAAAGTGTTGCAAATTAGACTTTTTTTTTTAATGGTGGGCCAAGCCCATAGAATTAAATTGAAAGCTGGTGCATGTTAAAGGAAACATGCTCCATCAGAAAAAAACTTACAAAAGTCGCTCCAAAATGAAAAGATACTAGTAGAAGGAGAAGAATATAACACTAACTCTCCACTCCTACTCTTAAGACCTACCAAAGCTAGACTATCAGCACACAAGTTAGCCTATCTAGGAACAAATTCAAAAGCAACATGCTCGAATGACAGCAAGCAATTTCTAATTTTCCTAGCTACCAAGGAATAGTCATCTAAAACATTCAGATTAGCTACACAAGATAAGGCTTCTTTGCTGTCACTCCCAAGCCAAACTTTCTTGATCTTTAAATCACTTGCCAACTTAAGACCTTGCCAAATGCCCCACAATTCAGCTTCAAAGCTTGAGGCAGCAACCAATTTTTAAAGAGAATCCACTAATCCAGTCACCCTTCCAAGTGCATATCAAACCTCCACATGCTCCTGACTTGGACTCCAAATTTACAGCACCATCAACAAAGATTTTGAACATCTCCTTCTGCTCCTGAAATCCAGCCCCAAACAGAGAAGAAGAGTGCTCTATTTTCTGATCAAAAGGGTCCTCAGAACAACTACTATTCATATCTCTCAAATACAATAGGATTCTACTCATCGGGTCACTAGGCCAGTCAAAAAGATCTTCATGGACAGTTAGATTTCTCCACTGCCATAGCATCCAACAAGTAACAAAAAATGCTTCCTTCCACGAATGCCAGCATTTTGTTGAGAAAGATTTACAAATATTTAATCTAAACCAGTCAAAATCATTTGTTAGAAGAAAAACATCAGGTATCTTACCTCCAAACCATCTCTCCCACACCTTCCTAGCCTTCAAGCAGTCCCTCATCACATGCATTAAGGTCTCATGTGCTGATGAACAAATCGTGCAGAGAGTCTCCCCTCCATTCCACAAGCTAGTAGAACTTCTAATTGGTAATTTATTAAGGCATGCCAACCACATAAAAGTAGCAATCCTAATGGGTCCTTTCCATTTCCAGATTAGAGACCAGACTTTGTCCTTCTTCAAATTTGCACCCAGTAATTGCTGATAAGCATTCCTAACCAGAGAACAACTTGGGCTGCTTCGTAACCAGCAAATCCTGTCCTCAGGGCCATTTGGGCAGGGAGCTTTTATACTTTGCAGCCTTCTAAGTATAGTGACATCAAGATAATGCTTCAAATAATCCCATTGCCAATCACCTGTTACTTGGTCCACAATATCACTCACCTTCAATTCCTGTTCTGCAGTGCAAGGTTTAGTGAATGCAAGCTCATAGAGGTTATCTTCCCATCCATGCCAACAATCTGTCCAGAAATATACTGAATTACCATTCCCCATCTCCCAAATCAGATACTGTTCCAGTTTCACACGTGCAGCACAAATGCTATTCCATAAGGAGGAATCTCCATTTCTGACAGCTAGCCCTCTCCTAGGATCATGTTTTTTCTTCCATATTTCCCAAGTAGAACTCTACTCCAAAGACTGTTAGGATCATTAACAAGCATCCAAGCTATCTTTTGCATGAAAGCTTCATTTTGCACTCGAAGGTTAATGATGCCCAAACCTCCACACTCCTTGGGCTCATAGAGTTTCTCCCATGCCACATAGTGAGCTCTCCTTTTTGCATCTGAATCTCCCCAGATAAAATTCCTTTGTAGTTTTTCAATTCCTTGACAAACATGAACAGGAAGAGAGTTGTTTTGCATGTGATACAGAGGCATAGCTGCAATCACACTCTTGGTGAGAGTGATTCTACCCGCCAAAGACAAAAATTTTGTCTTCCACCCTTGGAGCCGATTCTGCATTCTTCCAATAACATTAGAATAATGCTGCCTACTAGTCCTCCCATGTCTCAGCAAGGTCCCTAGATAGCATCCAATCCCCTTGACAACTTTGAACCCACTAGCAACAGCCAAAGTTTTCACTGTCTCCTGAGTTGTGTTCTTAGAGAAGTAAATACAAGACTTCTCCATACTAACACATTGGCCTGACATTCGAGAGAAATTCTCCAAGCAGCCTGTAATACACTCCATCTGGCTAATGGAAGCTTCAGCAAATAGGATGATATCATCAGCAAACATTAGGTGTGATATTTGAGGCCCTGTCCTACCAGCTCTAATTGGGAGCCATGCCTTCCTATCAACTTCATCCATAATAAGATGGGTTAACTTCTCCATACATAGGAAAAATAAATAAGGAGACAATGGGTCCCCTTGCCTGAGTCCCCTTTGAGGAGAAAATCCATGAGTCCTACTTCCATTCCATAACACCTCAATAAATGGACTTGTGACACAGCCCATAATAGCAGTTATCAGCTCATCTGGAAGCTTCATCTCTTCAAGAACAGCCTTGACAAAACTCCACCTGAGCTTATCATAAGCCTTCTCTAGATCAATCTTGATAGAGAAATAACTCTTCTTTCCTTGCATCCTATGCATAGAGTGAATAAGTTCCTGGACAATAATAATATTGTCCTGGATATTCCTCTTGGGGATGAAGCTTACCTGATTAGGAGAAACAAGCTCACCTATAAATGGCTTGATCTTGTTAACCAGAATTTTACTCCAACCCTTATACACAGTGTTACATAGTGCAATGGGCCGAAACTGCTTCATGAAACAAGGCCTCTCCACTTTGGGAATTAGTGCAAAGAGAGTCTGATTGATCTCTTTAATCTGCTCAGGCTTGTTGAGATACAACTACATGCTACTGAAGACTTGTTCTTTAATCAGCTCCCAATTCTTATGATATAACAATGCTGGATATCCATCTGGTCCAGGAGCTTTTAATGGGGCCATTTGAAAGAACGCATTCCTGACATCCTCAAGAGAAATATCCAAAGACAATAAGTTTCTATGTTCCTCCCTGATAGCTGGCCAAGAGCAGCTAGTCTGACACCACCCTGATTCAACCATGTCATCTGTAAAAAGATTAATGAAGAAGTTCCTGGCCAGAACAATCAATTCCTCCTCTCCAGAAATCCATCCACCACCATGATTCTGAAGTTTGATAATCTTATTCCTCTTCCTCCTAATCAAAGTGCAAGTATGATAATACTTAGTATTTCTATCACCCCCTTTAATCCAATCTCCTCTAGATTTTAGAAACCAAATCTGCTCCTCTTGCTCTAAAATATCAGCAAGCTCCTTATTAAGATTAGCTTCTAATTCTTCCAAATGATAGCTATTCCTCAAGTTCATCTGTCTTTGGATGCCATCCAGCCTAGCTATCACCCTGTTTTTCCTATAGTGAGTGAAGCCAAAGACATTCTTATTCCAGCTTCTGACTGCTGGAGTAAAAGATGTCAAACTGTCCAGTAGCTTAGAGCTGGAATCCCAATTGGTTCTGATAAAGGAGTTAAAACGAGAATCATTCTGCCAAACAACCGTGAACCTGAATGGCCTCTGCCTCCAGCACTGATCCTCTTTATCAAATCTCACCAAGACATGACAATGATCAGAGAAAATTCTAGGAAGATTCAAGACAGTAGCTTCCTCAAAACAAGTTCTCCAAACATCATTTGCAACGGCTCTATCAAGCCTTTTGAACACTCTATCCAAATGAGGGAATTTGGGCCCCTTCCATGTGAATCTGTTTCCTCCCCCTCCCAAATCTATAACCCCGCATGCATTTAAAACATTATTAAACATAATGCATCTATTAACATCAACAGGCTTACCTCTTTTCTTTTCAGCAATTGAGGAAATCTCATTAAAGTCTCCTGACAGCATCCAAAGACTATTCATGGTTCTCCCAATAAGCTTCAAGTCTTCCCATAACATTCTTCTTTTTTCTTCTTTTGGGCTAGCATAAACAGCAGTCCAGAAGAATCCTTCCTTACCAGGAAATTCCACCCAACAGTGGATGAATTGTTCCTGTTTCCTCACAAGAGTGACACTCACCTCATTCGGATCCCAGACTATCCACACACCTCCTGCAAACCCATTGGCCTCAGAAATTATATAACTAGGATACTCCAGACTTCGAATAATTTTCAAAGCTAAGTCACCACTATCTCTAGGCTCCAATATTGCAGCCACTCCAACTCTATACTTCTTCCTAAACCTTCTAAAGGTGCTCTTAAATTGTTTCTTTCCAGCACCTCTACAATTCCAAGTCAACAAATTCATCATGAATTTTGAGATAGATGCAAGATTTCAAAGTTCTTGCCACTTATCTCAAGGTCCACAACAGATGCCTCCTGAATAAAAACATCTCTCTTAACACCACTAGTCTCAGCTATGCCAGCCATACAGCCAAACTGAGTAGACTCTGCATTCTGATCCATATCCATACTATTGAGAGAATCTGCATTTTTTAAATTCTCCTTCATCACCAAGTCAGGTGGTTCAGGATCCTTCAACTCATACTCCAGTAGAAAACTACCAACTTGTTGAATGCTCTCTACATGATCCAGAGAAGTCTCAGAAGCTGTAGCCTCAGCTGCCATCACTATATCCCCTCATAATTTACTTGAACATAGATCCAGACTTGGTCCCCATGCCTTTCTTATTATTGGAAATATCCTCCCCAAATGATATGTTGTTCCTGAGATCACTTTTCTGAGTTGCTTGACCTCCTTTCTTCCTTCTTTGCACCACCATCCACTCGCCAACACCCTGAGCTTCAGCCTTTTCCACTGGTTGAACAGGGTTCTCACGAGATTTTTCCATTGGAGTTTGCTTAGCAATTTCTGGGCAGGAATCAAGATTATGCCCATATCTGCCACACTTCAAACATATTAAGTACAGTCCTTCATATTCAATCCTTTTCCTACAACCATCCAGTACATACATCCCTCTCAGAGGTTTGGCCAAATCAATCTCGATGCATACTCTAGCAAACCTAGCCCTATCTCCAGTTGAAGTTGTTCTATCAACTCTTAAGACTTTACCAATCACAGATCCTAAGTGATTCAAAAATGGAAACTCATAATATTCTTGTGGAATACCTGGCAAACGCACCCATGCTGCTACCTTATGAATGTTAGCCTTCTCTGGATCAAAGCAAGGCTCCCATCTCCTGGTAGCCAGATAATGCCCCAATATCACCCAAGGCCCTCCCGAAATAGCCAAATTCAGATCCTCCAGGCAGCTGAAGCGAACAGAGAAAAAGTCATTCCCTAAGTCAACTACTGTAATACTTCCCGCTTTGGCCCAGAGCACTTCCAACCTGCGCTTCATAAACCCAACACCAATCCTCTTGCCCAGCAGCTTAACAATCAAGGCGTTCTTCCATCTCTGACGGATCCGAGCGCGAGCTTCTCCATTGCTCTTAATCTCCATCAGTCCATCCTCTCTGACCACTGTCTGAAAGCCCCATTCAGAAATAGTCCCCTTATTCGGATCGAGTGGATCCAGATCAGGATCCTCCTCCTCCATCAGCCAAGGTGATGCTTCGCCCGAAACACCATTTTCCATCCCTGTGACCTCCGCGAAGGACCTCTGCTTTGCAAGACCCTTCTCACCAGATTGAAACTCAGATACAACTTCATGCATCCTACCTTCAGTCAGAATTTCTTCTCCATTCTTTGTACGCTTCGTGCTCTTCCTAGTCATGCACAACAGATCAGAATGATTCTCCATCAAAGTCTCCATCGAACCAGCCATTCTCAGAAACGTAACCCTAGCAGACAGAAAATTTTTGCGCGCATGGCCAAACGCGCCTAACTAACCCATTTTTTCCAGCAAACTTGAATTAGTGCAAATTAGACCTTTATTTCTATTATTATTCTTTTTTAAGGCTATTTTTTTTTGTAATATAAATTTTTTTTTTGGTGAATATAGTTTGTAATATAATTTCACTAAAATTGTTTTTGGCACAACTTTTTGATACTAATTTTTTTTTTTTAAAAACTATTTCGAAATAAGAAAGCTTTGAAGTACGTAGTGAAGAATGAAGATGCATTTACCATTAGATTCAAATTAAAGCGTCTCTTGAAAAATATGAGTGACAGAGAGATATGAATTTATTTTCTTTTACTTTTTTTTTTGTTACAATAGCCAGTTTCAGTTCAATATATTGAAAATTATATTTCGCAAACAATAAATAATTTTCGTTTATAAGCCTAAGCATGGTATGCCATGCTATGTAGCACCGATACCGACACGGGACATGTGTCACGATACGACACGACACTCCGATACGTTAATTATAAAAAATGTTAGATTTCGACACGTTAGGACACGTTTTGATATTAAATAATATTTTTAATTTATGTAGTGCGTATTATATTAATATTCAATAATTTAACAAAAAAAATGAATCTAAACTTATAATATTCATAAATTTTGCAAAGAAACATAAGATATCCCAAATATTTATATTAAACTCAATAAAATGGTAATTGTAATCCAACGAATTTAATAGTTGGAATTAAAAACTCAACGCAACACAACTTTTGAACCTTTTTTTGAATTTCTATAATTCATATTGGAGTGTCGGAGAGTGTCCGAGTATCCAAGAGTGTCAGGAAGTGTCGGACAAAACAGGTTAAGATTTTTAAAGTGTCGTTGCTTCATAGATACCATGTGTCCAATGCGTGTTGCGCATTTAGATGAAGGCGAAGTAATTAAGATTAAGAATAAAAAAGAATAAGAATATTAACTCAAATTTAACATTTTTATAATGTTATAGAAGGTATAACAATGAATGAACAAATGAAAGAATATCTCATTGCCTAACAACTAATTAAACAGAGTGGAAAATTTTAGAGTTGAGTTGGGGATGCAGGACGTGCGTCTATACGAGCGTAGAACATATATGCTAAAGGAATTGTTATGGAAATATTTTGACCGAAATTGTTTTACGTTACAACTTTTCTTTTTAATGTAATTGTGATTTTTATTTTTTATTTATATAATGAGTATGGGTCAAGTTTTGGGTCAATAGGTCATTATTAAAACAAATCAGGTCTAAAATTGACCCAAATAAAAGTGGGTCAGTATTTAAACTAGTTCAAAAAATATAAGTATTTATGGGTCAGATATCAACGACAGGACAAGTGAACCAATTTTTTTGCAAAGCCCTAGGTGGAATGGCCACGCGCATTGACCAGGGCGCTGAGTCTCCGAGTTACCCACCCATATGTATGCAAATCTGTACCTCTTCCCATTCACGCGTGCACCCATTGAGGAACCATGAGTCCCACACCTGCTGGAACAGAGCCCATCAACGGCTACGTCTGCGACTGTGAGAACCACGTTGATGGCTTGTTTTTGGGCACCCTTTGATGCGAGCTTCATGATTTGGTCATCAGTGAGCGATTTGCCCATAGAGTATTTCTCGTCGATGACTTGGGAACCGAGGGAGGGGGCTAGCTTGGGTGACTTGTTGGAGTTGATGAGGTTGTAGTATTTCTCCGTTGCCTTCCACCATGTTGCCACGGTTGGTTGTGATGCGGTGGTGAATCTGGTGATGGGTTTGGGAGAGGAGAGTGATGTGATAAAGTCTGCGATGATGGCTCGCTGAGATGGGTTGAATTTGCCGTACCAGATGAGGTTGACAGAGATTTTGCCAGTTAGGAGAGGGCCTTTGTGGTATTTGAATTGCAACTGCTGGTCTGACTCTGACTCAGCGAGTCTCCTAGCCGAGGTCAAGTGAAGTAGGGAAATGGTGAGAAAAAGGCTAAAGAGAAAAGAAGACGATATAAAAAAGGCCATTTGTTTGTATTTTGTATAGAGAGAGATAGAAAAGAAAAGAGTGTAAGAAGTGAGAAGTGTAACTTGAAAGATATTATTAGTTAATTAATAATACCATTCGTTGTTTTAAGATGTGAAAATATTTGATGATGAACATAAAATAAAATAAAATATTACTATTTATTTTTATTATTTATGTGAATTAAGAAAATTATATTTTACATTAATATTTCATACTTACTAATTTATATTTTATATTTCATTAGTTAATTAATAATACTGTAAGAACCCGCACCGTTAATTATGGTATTTTTATTGTTTAATTATGAGAAGTAATGGAGATTGGAGATCAGAGACTGATTCGGAAGAGGAGGATGATGCCGAGATGCTGCTGCAGGATGGGGCTGTAGATGAACGAAAAAAGGCTCTATCTTTGGAGGATGTCACTTTGGAGTATCGCAAGGATGGTTCTCCGAACTTCAAGCTTTCGGACAGTTTCAAAAGGACAGCTTGGAAGCCGTGGAAGAAATCGTTGATTGTCAAACTGCTGGGGAAAAAACTCTCAATAAATTTCATGAGGAAACGGTTGGAGAATATGTGGGAAAGGGATGGGAAAATTCATGTAACTGACATTGAGAATGATTTTTTCTTAGTCAGGTTTGAAGCAAAAAAAGATATGAAATTTGTTTTAGCTGCTGGGCCATGGTTAATATTTGATCATTATTTGTTCATCAGATTATGGGAGCCCGATTTTCAAGCGTTTAGCTCCCCCATTAGCAAGATCACTGCTTGGGTCCGATTACCTGGGTTTCCAGTGGAATATATTAACACTCCCTTGATGAAGAGTGTTGGTAATTGGTTGGGGAAGTTCATTCGACTGGATGCAGCATCAACCAATCTTGCCAGGGGAAAATTTGCCAGGATTTGCGTCGAACTGGATATTAGCCAGCCACTAAAGTCTGTCTATTATGTAGAGCGAAGGTATAAGCAGGTGGAGTATGAAGGTCTTCATTCAATATGTTACAAGTGTGGGAAATATGGGCATAGAACGAAGCTTTGCCCCAATGCACCAAAGGAACCTGTGACTGTGACCAATGGCGAGGTGTCTATGAATAATACAATTCTGGACAGTAATATGCAGCATGCTGAAATTCCTGGGGAGACTAATCAACCTAATTTCGGTCCTTGGATGGTAGTTTCGAGGAAAAAACAAAAAACATGTGGAAAGGAAGTCTGATAATAGTATACAAAAAAGCACTGAAGAAAAGCATCTTAAAATAGTTGCTGAAACAACTAAATCTGAGACTACGGAAGAGGGCCACAATATTGGTAAGTTGAGCACAGATAGGCTTGGGGAGGACAATTTACATGGGGTTCAGGATCTAGCCAAGAGTCCAGGTAAAGATAGGCAACATGGTGTTAATGACCGAGTTCATCTAATAGAGACAGAAACTGCTTTCAAGTTGGTGGGAGATGGTGTCGGGGATGCAAATATGGAGGAAAAGTCTATTCCTAAGGATACCATAGGAAGTCTTACGAAGATACAGCACAATATTAATAACAATTTGAGCTCGATTGATACTCTATGTCATGAGAGTCCTGTTGTGATGTATACTGATAATGTTGGGAATGAGAATTATTTTGATGACTCTGCGAAGGTTCAGAAAACTTCTAGGGATCCATCCCTTAGTGTGACTGTGTTATCTCAAGATCCTAAGTCTCCGGATCCCAAGCCTAGTAAGACAACTTCAGTTTCTAGCAGAAGTAAAGCATCATCTGGTCAACGAGGAGTAGGGAAGTCTTTTTTCAGTAAATTGTCGCAGGTGCAATCTCACTCTGCAAAAATTCAAAAATCTTGTTGATGTCTTTGCTATCTTGGAATTGTAGGGGTGCGGCCAAGTCTAATTTGTGTCGTACTCTTAAAATGATAGTGGATAAACATGCTATTTGCATGGTGGTGCTAATGGAGACTCGAACCAGTAGCGTTAAGAGTAAAAGTTTGATGAAGAAACTTAGATTTGATCAGATCTTAGTTGAGGAAGCGGTGGGTTTTTCTAGTGGGATTTGGGCTATATAGGACTCCAACCGTGTTACGGTGCAAAGAATTTCCCAATCATCCCAGTTTTTGCATATGAAGGTTCTGATGAATAATTCTAGAGAATTTTTATGTACTGCTGTTTATGCAAGTCCCCGTGAAGTTGAAAGACATGTGATGTGGGATGATATTTCTCATATTAGCAACTCTATTAATGTTCCATGGATTATGTTAGGTGATTTTAATGATATCAGAAGTAGTAATAAAAAGAAAGGAGGATCCTATCCAGATAGTGCAAGATGCAGTCGGTTTTCTGATTTTCTCAATAGTTATCATGTGGAAGACTTAAACACTTCTGGTCCTTATTTCACTTGGCAGGGTCCAAAGTGGAATCACTTGGATAGAGTTTTCAAAAAGCTTGGTCGAGTTTATGCGAATCAGAGATGGAGATTGTGTTTTGAGGAGGCTGAAGTCTGCGTGCTTCCTAGGATACTTTCGGATCATAGACCCTTACTTGTGAATTTTTCTTCGAAATTTAAAGTGTGACAGAAGAGGTCGTTCCGCTTTATAGCTTCTTGGCTGGAGCATCCAAATTTCGATGAGCTGATGCAAGAGAAATGGAATTAAAGAGAGGAGATTATGTCTATGATCAATCAATTTGTTCCTCACCTCCAACGGTGGAATAAAGAAGTTTTTGGTAACATCAATATGAGAAAGACGAATTCAACCCATAGAATTCAAGACGTTCAGAATTATAGATTTGCTAACGACTCTCCTCGGCTGGAAGATCTAGAATGTCATATGCAAAGGGAGTTAAATGTGACTCTGGATCAAGAAGAGTCTCTTTGGTTTCAAAAATCTCCTCATAACTGGATCGTTGATGGTGACAAGAACACCAAATTTTATCATTTAAAGACAGTGGTTCACAAAAGTTGTAATAAATTAAGCAGGCTGAGGAATGATACTAATTGTTGGATTGAGGATCCCTCCCATCTTAGGAATCATGTCTGTAGTTACTATAAAAGTCTGTTTACTAAAGAATCCCACAACCGTAAATGGTTAACATCTCCAAATTGCTGGTCAAATATTCCGTCTGAATAAAGGAAAGATTGATCAAAGTTCCTGGGCTGGAGGAAATTTCCAGAATTTTGCGTGAAATGGGGTCTTTTAAGGCTCCTGGTGATGATGGCTTTTTAGCTATATTTTTTCAGTGACAGTGGCCTTTCTTAAGGACTCAAATTTGTGATGCTATCGGTAAGATTTGGAGTAAGGCGGAGCTTGTTGTTGAGATTAATTCAACTCTTTTGGTATTGATTCCAAAAAAAAATTCTCCTGAGTTTATCTCTCAGTTTAGACCGATCTCTTTATGCACTGTAGTTTACAAGATTCTGTCCAAGATCATCGTTGATAGGCTCAAACCGATTATGGAGGTCATTATATCTCCTTTTCAGGTGAGTTTTGTTCCGAATAGACAAATTCAAGATAATATTATTATTGTCCAGGAATTAATTCACTCAATGCATAAGATGAGAGGGAGAAAAACTTTTATGGCTATCAAAATTGATTTGATCAATGCTTATAACAGAGTTAGTTAGGAGTTTTTGCATAGAATTTTAGATGAAATTTCACTTCCTGAGCATACTGTAAACCTTATTATGAGCTGTGTACAATCTTCCAAAATTAATGTTTTATGGAATGGTGGTAAAACTGAAGATTTTACTCCTTCTAGGGGTATCCGGCAAGGGGAACCCTTATCTCCATATCTTTTTGTAATGGCCATGGAGAAGTTGACCCATATTATTAATACTGCTATTAGTGGAGGTATCTCGAAACCTATGAGGGTTGGTAATGGTGGACCTCAAATCTCCCATCTAGCATTTGCAGATGACTTGATGATTTTCATGGAGGCTAAGGAAGAGCAGCTCGATGTCTTTTTAAAATGTCTGTCCTTATTTGAAGAAATTTCAGGTGAAAAACTGAGTGTTGAAAAAACTAGTGTTTTCTTTTCAAGAGATACGACAGAGGATATGCGCCGAAGGATTTCTGAGAAAAGTGGTTTTAAATATGTGAAGAATGTGGGCAGATACCTGGGGTCTATGATGCAGCATGGTAGGGTTTCAAAAAATTCTTACTCAGGAATTGTTGATAAGATTAGAGTAAAACTCAATGCGTGGAATCAACAAAGTTTGTCGTAAGTGGGTAGTATCACCTTGGCTCAATCAGTCATATCTGTTGTTCCTTACTTTCAGATGCAAAGTTGCAAGCTTCCTACTTCAATATGTTTAGAGGTTGAGACAATTCAAAGAGGTTTTATCTGGGGTGATAGGGAGGATCATATGAAGCATCATCTGATTAGCTGGAATACTACTACTCTTCCTAAAATGTTTGGTGGTCTTGGATTTAAGAAATTAGAGATTATGAATGATTCTTTTCTTGCCAAACTAGTTTGGAATTATGTGAATAAACCTAACCATCTCTGGTCTCAGGTTCTCCAAGCTAAGTATGGTGCATTAGAAACCGTGGTGGCCCTTTTGTAGTGCATGGTGGTGATTCCAATCTTTGGAGAAATATTTGTAGAATTTGGAATATTATGGAGGATTGGCTTGTTTGGGAAGTTGGGGATGGCAAGAGTATTAGTTTCTGGCATGATAGATGGTTTCCTCAAGCTTCTAGTCTCCAGGAGTGTGCCACGAGGAGAATTTCCTCAAGGGAAGCAGACATGAAGGTGGCGGGTATGGTTAAGGATAATGGCGAGTGGGATTTGGCTTATATATCTGAGTCTCTTCCGGCTGATATTGTCGACAGTTTCCGTAGTGTGCTTCCTCCTTCTGACGTTGATGGACCGGACAAGAAAGTTTGGAACCTGCATGGCTCGAATATTTTTTTGGCGAAAGCAGTTTATGAAATGTTAACAAGCCATGATAGAAGTGAGGTTGCTGATAATTCTAAGTGGTCTTTACTTTGGAAGTGGAAGGGTCCTCAAAAG